GCCCCCACCACCACTTTCCCGGGTACTGGAATTCAGGGCTGGGGTCCTAGGAAGCTGTGGAGTGGCCGCTAGAGTGAGCGAAGCTATTCAAACCCAGGCACTTCCTGTGGCAGTTGGAGAAGCAGGTGACTAGTGGCTTCTGGTTCTCTCCAGTCCACCAGGGGGCAGCTGTGCGCAGTGGGCTGTGGCACAGGGCTGGGTGGGGGTATGGCCTGTCCATGCCTCAGTGGACACATCCTGGCTTGTGTTTCATGTAGTTTCCCTGCTGGGGAGACTGAGGGTTGGGCATAGCATCTGGGGTCCAGACAGGCGGCTGGGCTGGATGTCATGGGTGTTCAAGTTTTCTTCTCTCTCTCTCTCTCTCTCCTCTGTGGGGACCTCGCTGTCCCATGAAAACACTGCCTGACCCAAGCTGGGAAGGAGCAGAGCCATGTGACTGCCAGTGCTGACTACAAGCTTCAGGTGCCAGGAGCCCAGGCCCCAGAAGCAGGAGACTCGGGCGGGGTCAACAGGGAAGGAGGGCGACCCAGAGAGCAGGGATCTGTGGGGGTCTCCCCCAAGGGAGCTGGGCTTCAGCTCACAGGGCTCCAAGAGAGAGGGGGTCTCAGTGGGCCTGGCCACTCCATGGTGGAGCGTGAGGGGACCAGTGCGTCTGCGCGGGGCCCTGGGCAGGCGAGAGAGGGCTTCGCTGAAGCAGAAGGTGGCAGAGCCATTCTTCCTGGGGAGCACCGGCTCTGCAGACAGGGAGGCTGGGGTGGATGCCTTCTGGGGGCGCTCCCACCAGAGGAAGATGGCCCAGAAGCAGGGGTGGGGCTCCAGGAGGGACCGCAGGCAGGTCACAGCAGAGGCAGGGGTGGGGACAGGTGCTTTGGGGCCTCAGGAGACTGGGGGGCTGGGGGCCTGGGAGGCAGCTGGGAAAGCGGTGGACGCGGAGAGGACAGACAGGGCCAGGAGTGTTGCTGGGACCCTCAGCGGGGGGCTGGGGCACAAAGGAGGGCCCTCCTAGGACGAGGGCAGGGGATGGAGGTGTCTCCGGAGGGTGGTTTGGATGAGCTGGCAGGAAAAGGGAGGGAGAGAGGAGAGGCAGGGGCTGTGTGGGGTCTCAGTACTAGAGACAACTGTAGGGCAGGAGGTGCTGGGTCCCAGGGATCTCCTGGAGGAGGAGGCTCTGGCCCCAAGGCAGGAATGGGCCCTGGGTCCTGGGACTCTCAGGGAGGCAGGGTCTCTGCCCAGGGGAAAGCAGGGTGGCCAGGGCCGTCTCCGGGACAGACACGTGGAGACCAGGGTGTCCAGGAGCCATCAATACCAGATGGCAGAGAATTCCCTGGGTGCCGAAGTCCTGAGGCCAAAGTTCAGGGGTCACTGAGCCCTGAGACCCAAGTACAAGAATCACCACACAAAGCAGATGATAGAGGCCCAATGGCTGAGGGAAGAGGCCATGAAACTGGATCTGGAGGCCTCAGGGACTGGGAAGGGGGCCGTCGGGAGCTCAGGGGACAGGGCTTGGGTGGCAAGGATGCCCAGGAGACAGTTGGGGCCTTGCCTGGGACAGAAGACTCTGGAATCTTCCAGGCTTCCCATGACTGGGAAGCAGGTCAGAGGGGAGCAGGGGGCACTATTAGCATCAAGGCTGAGACCACAGGCCTTTGGAGTGACAGGTGGCCCGGCCTCAGACAACCCCG